ACATTTACGATTTTACTGCTTAATTTGACGATTTTGTTTCGGTTTTGAACTGACAGGGATCCATACCAGCACTGGATTGAGAAGGTTAACCCCATGCATCCCTAGGCGGGATATGTCCTAGGAGACCTTCATAAACAAAAACCCACAACCATAACAAAAACAACACATAAAAACACATGCGTCCTAAGGAGGGACACCTCCCACCATGAGTCCCAAGGTGGGACACGTCCCTCAAGTGTCCCAAGGAGGGACAGTCACACCAAGAGTCCCGTGGAGGGACGCCAATTACCCACAACCCCACACCATGCGCCGACATGCCAACCGGCGAAGACGACCTTAAAGCACCTAACTGAATCAATGAATGAAAGAAGTCAGCGGAGACGCAGAGAGATAGGCAGCAGAGAGGCATAGGCGGGCGCTGATCACCGACCAGCGGACAAAACCAGCGGACAAGACCAGCGGACAAAACCAGCGGACAAGACCAGCGGACAAAACCAGCGGACAAGACCAGCTGAGCAGCCCTGGAGAGAGGTGTGAAGAACAACTCTGGTCATATCTGGTCGACGCCCGGGAAACAGTCTAGCCTCTCTTACATTCTCCTTCACGCCCATATTGTGATCACTGTTAGCTATAGAGTAAATATCGTAGAAATTGCCGAAAACCTTTCATCGTTCTGTTATCGTGCTACATAGAGTGTGGCCATCAAAACGGCGTGTTCCTGATAATGAAGAAGTTGACATCCGTAAATTCTCTCCCTTATGCGTATAATTTGAAAATTCGATTTTAAGTGGTCAAAATGTTCATGCTAAAGTTTGACGTGAGATTTCACAGTTTTGTCGTGAGAGCGTGATATGAGTGATAAAAGCGCGAGTCTCAAGCTAAGGGTCTCAGAGTTGGCAGGTATTCTGACGTGTTGTGAGTCATCAAGGAAGTTAAAAGTGACACAACTCTCTCTGTTGGTTGATAATCGTTAAAAACGTTCAGTTTGACCAGGTAGACTATAACGTTGTAGATTATCCCTGGTTTGACTTGGCGACACGCGCTGTACCCCGCCTCGGCGATTCATCAGTGATCCAGACTCGCAGCCAGGTTCTTAGAGTCTATGCCTGTACGGCGATGCTCCTTCGGATACGCTGGATGTTGATGAAGTCGTCTCAATGCAGTGACACATACCGGTCTTCTTGATCTAATTCCCACCTTCCCCAAATGATTCCTTAGGTGTTGGTCTGATACCCTCCTCAATCCAGGCACATGCTCCGCACTCGCGGTGACACTATTATGTCGATAACATGTCATGGTGCACTACACAAACATGTTACTAACATTGTTCAATCCAGAATACTGCATTTGTGTGGAATGTTTCATGAAAATACAAAACCAACATTCTTATTAAACTCATCAGTTTCTTTTCTGTCAAGTGTGTACCATGACGTCCATGAGAAAGAAAATAAATAAATCATGAGCTGTTCCAATCGCCATTCATCGGTTCCCAATTGCGCAGATCGATGCTTATGGTGTTGATTACTGGATAGTCTGGTCCAGACTCGATTATATACGACCGCCGCCATATAGCTGGAATATTGCTGAGTGCTGCGTGAAGCTAAACTCACTCACTCACTTACTCCAATTTCCATTGATACTATAACTTTCAAATGACTGGACACTTTGAGGTGGTATTTTGGTACGGTGTTTATTTTGCCCTTTCAACCCCATTTAAAAAACTTATGGAAATTATAAGGAACGTTATGTTATATGAAGTTAAGACACGTATCGTGGGAAATGACCCGACGTGTTGTGTTTTGTCCTCACATAGATAAGCTCCTTAAACGGTTGAAGTGCACATATGACGGGCAGGGTTGGTTCGTGGAATGACTGGGGGCACTCACAGATCTCGCAGTACACTTTTCAGTTTTTATCTCGCCAGCAACAAAACCCTGGTGTCGTCGTTAACCTGGAATCTAAGAAAGATGACGGTAACAGAAAGCCCTGTGTGGGTTCTTGACATGATGACATATTAACAGAAAGCGCTGTTCGGGTTCCAAACATGCTGGCGTTAACAGAAAGGCATGTATGTGTTGTAAACATGCTGGCATTAACAGAAAGGCATGTATGTGTTGTAAACATGCTGGCATTAACAGAAAGCCATGTATGTGTTGTAAACATGCTGGCGTTAACAGAAAGGCATGTATGTGTTGTTAACATGCTGGCATTAACAGAAAGGCATGTATGTGTTGTAAACATGCTGGCATTAACAGAAAGCCATGTATGTGTTGTAAACATGCTGGCATTAACAGAAAGCCCTGTGTAGGGTCTAAACATGCTGGCGTTAACAGAAAGCCATGTATGTGTTGTAAACATGCTGGCATTAACAGAAAGCCCTGTGTGGGTCTAAACATGCTGGCATTAACAGAAAGCCCTGTGTGGGGTCTAAACATGATGCCATTAACAGAAAGCCTTGTATGGGTTCTTGACATGATGACATTAACAGAAAGCCCTGTGTGGGGTCTAAACATGCTGACATTAACAGAAAGCCCTGGTGGGGTCTAAACATGATGACATTAACAGAAAGCCCTGGTGGGGTCTAAACATGATGACATTAACAGAAAGCCCTGGTGGGGTCTAAACATGATGACATTAACAGAAAGCCCTGTGTGGGGTCTAAACATGATGACATTAACAGAAAGCCCTGGTGGGGTCTAAACATGGTGACACTTTAACAGAAAGCCCTGGTGGGGTCTAAACATGATGACATTAACAGAAAGCCCTGTATGGGTTCGAAACATGTTGACGTTAACAGAAAGCCCTGTGTGGGTTCGAAACATGTTGACGTTAACAGAAAGCCCTGTATGGGTTCGAAACATGTTGACGTTAACAGAGAGCCCTGGATTCATATCCTGGTATATGTGGACGGTCAGGCTATCATAATGTACATAAGAGGTTACACATTCACATTTTAGTTTCAAACTTAACTTGCAACAGGTTTTATATATATTTATATGAATCACAAATTGCAATATCCAGAATACATACAAACCAAAGGACACGATGGGATAAGGGACATGTTTGGAACACATGATCTGCATAATTTAATAACATTATCAGACTTTCAGAAATCATTGTTGGAGTTCACTGATCTATTCGTGGAATTAAACAGGTTTGCCCTATAGCAATGCTAAATGTGCACGAGGACTAAATCGTTTAAGTACGTTGTAAACGTGACCATTTCAGTGACTTGGAGAACACGTGACCTGATAGATAAGATACCACACTGCAAATGTAGTACTCAGTATGACATTCACCACATATGTCCTATCAGATACAGTCAGGGCACATTGTTTTGTTTCTGGCCTATTTTCTTTTTGAATTCTTTGAATAAACCTTCTCACTTTGCTGCTTAGTGGAGTTGATTCTACATATACGTTCCATTATACATGATTAATTTTTTGGATAGTATATGTTCTAATTCAGCTATTGAAAGATTAAATTTGCTCAGTAGACGTTTTCTGATCGGATAAGCAAAGTAAGAAAATGGCATTTGGGCAAAGAATAAAAACTTAAACTTCAGGTATATCGATATCTGACATCGTTTAGTCACGGTCAAAGAGCCAAGTCCTTTCCACTTATTTAACCACCAGAAATAGAAATATGGGAAACCAGACTCGCCTATTTCATATTTAGATTTGTGCGTAAAGAGTGACAAAATCATCAACTAAAGGCTGGATGTAGGACAAGTGAGATAACAGTAACTTCAGTTTTCCCAAATCGTCGAGCAATATTCCAGTGCCGCCAGTCTTTGGTGTCCTTGGCTTTTGCAGTCGAGTTAGCTCTTTCTTCGAAGATTACAAACAGCGTCATACCACACGGTATATCACTCAAAGCCTCAATTCCCTAGCGATTGCAATAACCCAATCTGACCCGTACCACATCCTCTCGGTGTTTCCTCTAGTAAAGATTTGGCTTGGCATGGCGTGTATTTTTGACGAGTGCCACCGGTGGTACATGAGCTTTTGCCCGAACATGTATATCGTATCATCACTATTCTACAGCGATCCACAAACACCTGCTCGTGACATCGTCGGAAGCATACAATAAGGACATAAAAAGTGTATTTTCTTCTATGAAATACGCAATGCCATTTCAGAAAGTGGTCAGATGTAACATATGTTACATTAGGGATTATACTTTCTCAGTACAGTACAGATTCTAGTAATCTTTGGGGTTTGAGTCCCATCCGGGATTCGAACCCACACCCTGAAAGTCAGGCACCTAATCGCCAGCACACAAAGTCAGACGCCTAGACCGCTCCGCCACCGCGGCTTCTACAAAATAAAAGGAATGCTGACAACTGGTAGTCTAGACTGCGGACTTTGTGTACCCCTCTGATAAGTGTTAATTGGCACGGCTCCCACGGCCGAAAGCTATGAAATACCCAATGCCATTTTAGAATATGTTATATTTGGGATTACACTTTCTCAGTAAAGTACAGATTCTAATACTTTTTTTGGGTTGTGTCCCATCCGGGATTCGAACCCACACCCTCAGAGTCTAGGCGTCTGACTTAGTGTGCTGGCGATAAGGTGCCTGACTCCGAGGGTGTGGGTTCGAATCCCGGATGGGACTCAACCAAAAAAAAGTATTAGAATCTGTACTTTACTGAGAAAGTGTAATCCCAAATATAACATATGTTATATATTCTTCTATATATAGACTGGTAAACAAGATAGCTGTAGCTAATTCACAGGTAATGATTTACAAGCGGCTTATTATGACATATAGTACCCAAAAGGAATTTTGTTTTTTTGGCACGTGATTTGGGCAGTTACAAAGAGTGTCATTGAATGAATCTATGTGTTTAAACATTCCTTTCCGCAGACAAAATGAAACGCCCCAGATGGTGGGAATCTGAAGTGGGAGGGGCTCTGGCAAACGTAGATATCTTAAAGCCACTTCGATAACCATTTACGGCTGCTCCCTCTGAACTTGGCCTGCGGTTCAAGGTAGATAACTCTATTTTACCTCCTGGATTCGGTGAGTTTAGAGTGCGGATTTTTCTATGTGAATCAGTGTCATGCTTACATTGTATGATCAACGACGTTATTGGGAATTATTAATTCTATTTGTTTCGATAAGAATAACACAATGACAAACTGGTGGTACTGGTTTGATACATTTCGCCAATGGTAAATAATCCTGTGGTTAATTGTTCAGTTTTCGTTCACATGTTCAATCCAACAGAACATTTCAGAACAGTGACCAGGTGACAGGAAGCCTATTCATCTGTTTGATTTGTTCTGTGCACATTCTTCGCTTTCGCACTAAAAATTCCTTTGCATTCCCGTTGCTTTTGCCACGTGTATTTTCAAATAAGTTTGTCAAGTGTAGTCCATGGGTAATGTTTCCTGTTAGATGATCTTTGTGTCTTCTCAGAACTGACATTCATTCACCTTGCACTAAAGTGCACCTATTTACCTTTTATGGAAACAGCAATGGGTTTCTAGGTTTCATTGATAAGCGGAGACTAACAAGCTTCAAAATAAGGTACAAGTGGACTTTGTGCAATGCATATATATAGAATAGAATTTTGAAAAGTTGCACTGCAACCTAACGCCACATAAAAATATTCTTGTTTCTGATCACTTTTTCCAAAAAGTACTGGTCAGGTGCGCGGATTTTATTTTTACATTTTAATTTATTTTATGTCAAAAGTGAAAAATTCATTCACATTTTGAGAGTCAAAGTTGCATTTTCTCTAGTGTAAAAAATTAAAAAATTCTTAGGGTCTGGTAGAATTTTTGGGCTAGGCGGTAATGAGAAACTTGAATAGTTTTACATATGACCTAAGTAAACACAAACACACGATTAATGTTTGTTAATAGTTCAACACCGCAATGTTCCAGCTATATGGTAAAGGTCTGTAAATAGTCGAGTGTGGACTTTTGAATGTTTGTGAGGTATGTATTTTGTTTTCTTGCAGGTATGAGCATCATGAAGGGTCTCACCAACATTACTCGGATGGTGAAATCGAGAACACTGCCAGCCTGTCTCAAACAAACTCTGTATCAGTACAGAAGCTCATGCTCAACAAAACATGGTGTTGTCAGCTCTCGGTTAGTGAAAAATACACGTGGCCTCACATCAGCAGGAAGAACTGACATTATCCAACTACAACCATATCACATACAACAGGCAGAGATGTCTCTGTATCAGTGTGTTCCCTCTCGGCATATAGCAACCACGTCCGTGTGTTGGAGTCGAGGTAGTATTGGAGTTGGTGGTGGACAGAGTGATGAGGATACACAGGGGACACACTCCAAGGAACAGGGAGCCACAGATGCAGCTTGGGTAATAACAAATCTTTACGGCAATAATAGAGTTCATCCTATCCATTGTTAGGAGGCATTGTTTTCAATATTTTCTTTTCATGGATAAACAGTTCCATTGGATGTATTGAAAGCATCAATGTCTTAACTGCCGATGCATGTGCTTCACAGGAAACTTGAATGTTTGTACCACTTTGTACCAGAATGGTGCATTTCATGATGTAAAGAAAAATTCTACATGAATCACCATTTTCATCATAGATTTCCTTCCTAGCTGTCACTTTTATGACTTCTTTTATGAGAAAGTAGCAGGTGGTATTTGGAAGGTTATTTCAGTAAATACAAACTGATATAGGTTGGAAATCATGGACATTGAATATTGTGTTTCGTTGACCTAACTCAGGTAACAAGTACATTTTGGACGTGTCTAGAGTCTCTGATTTACTCAGACAGATGTCACAATCCAGATTTGATTATCATGTTTGAGTTTACAATTTATTTGTTACATTCCTTGCAGGCCATCCGGTTAGCAAATGAAAATGGTGAGTATGGATTGGGTTTGTTAAAATCATAATGGCTCAGATATAATGGACTTTATGTACACAAAGAAAAATACTTTCTGAATAAAGAAATATCTTGTGAGAATGTGTTTTTTATATTATGTCAGTGGTTGGTGAACTGACAAGTAAACGGCACACACAAGAGGAACAGATTAACAGACTTTATCAACAATGCTTCACGACATAACTAGTGGGTTGAGAACACTCAACTGACAAGGAAGTGGACATATGTTTTAATTTATATCGGGTTATAGATAAACTTCTTCCAGCTTGAAAATGGATCCAAATGATTGATATGACATCTTCAGTTGTTGCAACTTCATCAGTTGCTTCCAGCATTCTGTTTTTTGTCAACTGTATTTGTTGTGATCATCAGTGTGTATTTTGATGATGAACCAGTAATACCTGCATTCCTCATGTTTAGGTTACCTGTCCTGGTGCAGGAATACCTACCTAGCAAGTGCTGTGGCCTGTGGGATGCAAGCTGAGGGGACATTAGAAGTCTCACAACTAGCTGCACAGGGTAAGTACTAGAAGTCTCACAACTAGCTGCACAGGGTAAGTACTAGAAGTCTCACAACTAGCTGAACAAGGTAAGTACTAGAAGTCTCACAACTAGCTGTACAGGGTAAGTACTAGAAGTCTCACAACTAGCTGCACAGGGTAAGTACTAGAAGTCTCACAACTAGCTGCACAGGGTAAGTACTAGAAGTCTCACAACTAGCTGCACAGGGTAAGTACTAGAAGTCTCACAACTAGCTGTACAGGGTAAGTACTAGAAGTCTCACAACTAGCTGCACAGGGTAAGTACTAGAAGTCTCACAACTAGCTGCACAGGGTAAGTACTAGAAGTCTCACAACTAGCTGCACAGGGTAAGTACTAGAAGTCTCACAACTAGCTGCACAGGGTAAGTACTAGAAGTCTCACAACTAGCTGCACAGGGTAAGTACTAGAAGTCTCACAACTAGCTGTACAGGGTAAGTACTAGAAGTCTCACAACTAGCTGCACAGGGTAAGTACTAGAAGTCTCACAACTAGCTGCACAGGGTAAGTACTAGAAGTCTCACAACTAGCTGTACAGGGTAAGTACTAGAAGTCTCACAACTAGCTGTACAGGGTAAGTACTAGAAGTCTCACAACTAGCTGCACAGGGTAAGTACTAGAAGTCTCACAACTAGCTGCACAGGGTAAGTACTAGAAGTCTCACAACTAGCTGCACAGGGTAAGTACTAGAAGTCTCACAACTAGCTGTACAGGGTAAGTACTAGAAGTCTCACAACTAGCTGCACAGGGTAAGTACTAGAAGTCTCACAACTAGCTGTACAGGGTAAGTACTAGAAGTCTCACAACTAGCTGCACAGGGTAAGTACTAGAAGTCTCACAACTAGCTGCACAGGGTAAGTACTAGAAGTCTCACAACTAGCTGTACAGGGTAAGTACTAGAAGTCTCACAACTAGCTGCACAGGGTAAGTACTAGAAGTCTCACAACTAGCTGTACAGGGTAAGTACTAGAAGTCTCACAACTAGCTGTACAGGGTAAGTACTAGAAGTCTCACAACTAGCTGCACAGGGTAAGTACTAGAAGTCTCACAACTAGCTGTACAGGGTAAGTACTAGAAGTCTCACAACTAGCTGCACAGGGTAAGTACTAGAAGTCTCACAACTAGCTGTACAGGGTAAGTACTAGAAGTCTCACAACTAGCTGCACAGGGTAAGTACTAGAAGTCTCACAACTAGCTGCACAGGGTAAGTACTAGAAGTCTCACAACTAGCTGTACAGGGTAAGTACTACAAGTCTCACAACTAGCTGCACAGGGTAAGTACTACAAGTCTCACAACTAGCTGCACAGGGTAAGTACTAGAAGTCTCACAACTAGCTGTACAGGGTAAGTACTAGAAGTCTCACAACTAGCTGTACAGGGTAAGTACTAGAAGTCTCACAACTAGCTGCACAGGGTAAGTACTAGAAGTCTCACAACTAGCTGCACAGGGTAAGTACTAGAAGTCTCACAACTAGCTGTACAGGGTAAGTACTAGAAGTCTCACAACTAGCTGCACAGGGTAAGTACTAGAAGTCTCACAACTAGCTGCACAGGGTAAGTACTAGAAGTCTCACAACTAGCTGTACAGGGTAAGTACTAGAAGTCTCACAACTAGCTGCACAGGGTAAGTACTAGAAGTCTCACAACTAGCTGCACAGGGTAAGTACTAGAAGTCTCACAACTAGCTGCACAGGGTAAGTACTAGAAGTCTCACAACTAGCTGTACAGGGTAAGTACTAGAAGTCTCACAACTAGCTGCACAGGGTAAGTACTAGAAGTCTCACAACTAGCTGCACAGGGTAAGTACTAGAAGTCTCACAACTAGCTGCACAGGGTAAGTACTAGAAGTCTCACAACTAGCTGTACAGGGTAAGTACTAGAAGTCTCACAACTAGCTGCACAGGGTAAGTACTAAAGTCTCACAACTAGCTGCACAGGGTAAGTACTAGAAGTCTCACAACTAGCTGTACAGGGTAAGTACTAGAAGTCTCACAACTAGCTGCACAGGGTAAGTACTAGAAGTCTCACAACTAGCTGCAATGGGTAAGTACTAGAAGTCTCACAACTAGCTGCACAGGGTAAGTACTAGAAGTCTCACAACTAGCTGCACAGGGTAAGTACTAGAAGTCTCACAACTAGCTGTACAGGGTAAGTACTAGAAGTCTCACAACTAGCTGCACAGGGTAAGTACTAGAAGTCTCACAACTAGCTGCACAGGGTAAGTACAAGAAGTCTCACAACTAGCTGTACAGGGTAAGTACTAGAAGTCTCACAACTAGCTGCACAGGGTAAGTACTAGAAGTCTCACAACTAGCTGCACAGGGTAAGTACTAGAAGTCTCACAACTAGCTGCACAGGGTAAGTACTAGAAGTCTCACAACTAGCTGCACAGGGTAAGTACTAGAAGTCTCACAACTAGCTGCACAGGGTAAGTACTAGAAGTCTCACAACTAGCTGCACAGGGTAAGTACTAGAAGTCTCACAACTAGCTGTACAGGGTAAGTACTAGAAGTCTCACAACTAGCTGCACAGGGTAAGTACTAGAAGTCTCACAACTAGCTGCACAGGGTAAGTACTAGAAGTCTCACAACTAGCTGCACAGGGTAAGTACTAGAAGTCTCACAACTAGCTGTACAGGGTAAGTACTAGAAGTCTCACAACTAGCTGCACAGGGTAAGTACTAGAAGTCTCACAACTAGCTGCACAGGGTAAGTACTAGAAGTCTCACAACTAGCTGTACAGGGTAAGTACTAGAAGTCTCACAACTAGCTGCACAGGGTAAGTACTAGAAGTCTCACAACTAGCTGCACAGGGTAAGTACTAGAAGTCTCACAACTAGCTGCACAGGGTAAGTACTAGAAGTCTCACAACTAGCTGCACAGGGTAAGTACTAGAAGTCTCACAACTAGCTGTACAGGGTAAGTACTAGAAGTCTCACAACTAGCTGCACAGGGTAAGTACTAGAAGTCTCACAACTAGCTGCACAGGGTAAGTACTAGAAGTCTCACAACTAGCTGTACAGGGTAAGTACTAGAAGTCTCACAACTAGCTGCACAGGGTAAGTACTAGAAGTCTCACAACTAGCTGCACAGGGTAAGTACTAGAAGTCTCACAACTAGCTGCACAGGGTAAGTACTAGTCTGTCTCACAGTCCCTGAACCACATTAATTTCCCTACTGCCAAGCCCTCTCTGCAGTGCTAAAGCCTTAAATAAAGCAAGTCTAGATTTCCTCAGGTTCAGGGTCTGTTAACATCTGCATGAAAACTAACTCACTTTGGGGGTCGGATTACAAAGTAAACATATCTAACTACCATGGCTGGCCAGACCAACATCCTCACCAGTGGTCTGGAATCTTGCCTCACATTTTCATCTGTCAACTCTTAATTAACAAGCACATTGGGTGACATGAAGCTATAGTGGAGGCCTTGTGTACAGTTTCTGGTCTTGAAGAGACAAATCAAGCAAAATCTTGGGGAAAGGTTCCTCCTGAATGTAATGTTGTAAAAAGTATTGTTTCATTGTCTGACTTGGGTCCCCACATAGTAGCCCAATTGTAAATGCGGTTAAGGATTTCATTGTAATTAAAACAAGGGTTATTTTTCTTATTCCTGATATAAGATTATTGTGTGAAAGGAAAGAGTTCCTTCCGTTCCCCCAACTCTAAACCAAACTCTAAACCTAACCCTAAACCTAGCCCTAACTTAAATTTTGGACTTTCAATCATTTTGTGTGTTCTCTAGTAATTGTTGCGTTAAGTTTCGTTTATAATTCTAGAATATTTATACATATTATTTGGGATGGGGGAACGGGGGGAACTCTTACCGTGTGAAACTCTGGTGTGTTTTGAGTATCTCTTTTTATCTAATTGCTCAACAGTAAAACATATGGCAGGGACCTAGCACTCATGAAGAGTGAGTGAGTGAGTGAGTTTGGGTTTACACCGCATTCAGTATGTTCCATATATGGCGGCGGTCTGTAAATAAGTCGAGTCTGGACCAGACAATCCAGTGGTCAACAGCATGAGCATCTACTAATTGGGATACACGATGACATGTGTCAACCAAGTCAGCAAGCCTGACCACCCGACCCGTTAGTCAGCCTTCTCAACGAAGAACCAAATTCAAAAGGCACAGCATCTCGAATTAAATCTGTTTACCTTCGTGTGATGTGATTGAGGCATGCAAGGTGAAATCTAGTGAAGATGATCTTGTATCTAGAAATACCCAGAACATCTTCAAGCGTAAGACAGACGCTGGCCTTTTCACTTCCATTGAACAGTTTGTTTATAAAAAGTTGGTTATCTATATCCTCTTCGCATATTATACAAATGGAAACTTTTGAATTTGGAGATAAATTCAAATTCATAAATAATTTTGTTGGTGTTACACACAGATCTTGCACCTTGGTCATCTAGTGTCCAAGTGACATTGTGGGCTGCAAGTTTCCCAACAGTAAAATGTTAGGCAGTAGGGGCACTTGACCGGCCCACATGAGGTGATGACAGCATGGAGATAGGACAGGGCTTAACAGGAGGGCCAATAAATATGCCTTTCACTTATAGCGTTATCTGATGGTTGTATGATGTGACTTCTAATTGGTAACGACCCCAGCACGTGTAGCCCCAATGCAGATGTTCTTAGTCTCTGAATCTCTGGTCTCCCTAGGGCTCCTTTTCAATATAAATGGGCTTTGTTACTATCAAAATTATATATATTCAGAGACTAAGCCTTAGTCTAGGTAAGTACTAGAAGTATACCCTACTACATTACTTTTTTCCCCAAAAACGCTGCATACCACTCTCTACTCCATATGGAAGGGATCCCCACGTTTGGTCTTGGGTGTTTCTACCTTCTCTGCCGGTGTGTGGAGGGGGTGCACGAAGGAGGAAACTGGTTTGCTGTGCTTCCAGGTCTTGTACACAACCTTCCAGAGAAAAACAGCAGCTGCACAGGGTAAGTACTAGAAGTCTCACAACTAG